CGTTCCAGCTCCCTTCCTTGCCCATTTTCTGGGGGTGAGGTCATTGGATGACATACATTTTCTGGCTCACTTCCCTCCCTCAGGTTCCGTCTTTGAGCTGTGCCAGGGAAGGAGGCCTCTAGGAGAATGCTTAGGACTCTGAGAAACAATCTTCTGGCTTAATCACCAAGACCTAGTGCCTTCGCAGCGTGATCTTATAAAATACAGGCAGCCGGGCCCCCTTTTTTTCTTATTACCTTTGGGCTGTAGGAAGCTACTTGACCAGTGGAATCAGAATTGCTCTGCTGTTCATGTTGGGGGCTGCCAATGCTGTTCTGGTCTCCAAAGGATGCTAACACTGAAACAAAAAGAGAAACAAAGGCAAAACTCAGAGACAGGGCTCCTAAAGAAGCAGCAGCTTTACTTCATCTTTGGCTTTCTAAGTTAGAAAGAACTTATGGGTTGAACTGTAAGTCAGTAAGGGCTCCCAGGGCCTCAACTGCTCACAATTAACTTGATTAACTGCTCATGATTGAGATATAATGAGAGCAGGTGTACATTTGGGAGCTTTGTATCTGGATAAAGACACAGGTCTGACAAAACACCTGTCACTCCTTCTTCCTGCCTCACTCCTTTCTCCAGGGGTGTCCCAGAGACTGAGTAAATTTTGGCATGGGCGTATCTTTTATGTAGCATCTTTTTCTACAGTGTAGAAATATTAAAGTATATAGAAAATTATAAAGAAGAAAATATAAACGAATGACAGTCCAACCCAGAAATAACCATTGTTACTCATTTGTTGTTGTTTTCTTTGTCCCTTTTAAGTGCATTTTTCCATATTTGAGACCATGGTCTCTATATACTTTTATGTTCTCTTTTTTCCTGCACATAATCTTTGGGTGGACCTTTTTAGGGAAAGCATTAGACAGCTAATTCAGGCAGAGACTGCCCCACTATTGAGTGGGGTCTAGCCTCAAGATAGGGCACAGAAGGCATCACCTAATTCAACAATCAGCACCACCACAGTTGTATGTAAAGTCTGAGACTGCAAGCTCTTGGGTTAAATCTGCTGCAAGTATATGGAATTTTCAGCACATTCTCCCAATCTTTTACTTATTATATACTTATCACTGTTCTTGGCAGTTCAGATTTTTTTTCTTTTTCTTCTTTTTGTTTTCTGGCATCACGCACTGGGTATATTTGCATTTCCTTTCTTTAAAGCATTTTCTTAATGAAACAATTTATTCCTCAATATGAAAGGCCTTCCAGATTGAAAATGTTTCCAATTTTCAGTACAGGATGCCTAGAGTCTCCAGTTTTTTTAGTGCCTTGGTTTATTTAATTTAGATTTTTTTTTTAAACTTATAATTCATTGAGGGTGGTTTTGAAGGTATGGAGGATGGGAAAGATAACAAACTTAAAAGGTAGCACAAGGGAAGGAAAGATGAACCAAACTTAGATAAGAACCATGGTATCTGTTTTAAAGTCACACCTCATATATTCCTCCTGGAACGCAAGATCAGAGAGAAGTAGAAATACGATTTTATCTGTGTGTTTTAAAAAGACCCACATTAAGCAGGATTCGTGTGCATGCATGCCTGTGTGTCTGCAATGAAATCATGTTTTAAAGAGGATTCAGCTGCATTATATTTATAACCATGTGGTTGCTACCAGCTACCAGCATGTCTCCTTGTGTTGGTTCACTTTTCTTTGCTCTGTGTCCTAATTCTGTTCTAAACTGTGCAGCTTTGATAACGCAGCCTGCTAGTCCACCCCCTACCACATACAACCCCTGGGAATCCTGCTCTGGTCCCACGCAGGTCCTTGTTCTGACATGTTTGTCTCTGGTTGCAGGAGAAAGTTTGAAGTGTTGGGGATCCAGACCCCCTGTTGGCTATGACGCATCAATCTCTAGTTGGGGTCCTGTCCTATTTGGCCAGGATAAATGGACAGCTGGAGCTTAACCAGAGCTGAAGCTCATTCAAAAACATCAACTCAACAGCTTCCCAGGAGAACAAAAAGATGTGTTAGGTATTGCTTCTTAAACATTAATGTGTACTGGAAGCACTTGGGGAAGGTGGTTAAAATGCACATTTCCAGGCCCCACCTGGAGTGTCTGATCTCATCATTTTTAGTAGAGCCTGGGAATCTGTGTTTTAAGCAAACACTATAATGTGATTCTGATGCTGGAGGTTCAAAAACCACTCTTGGAGGAACACCAGGATTCTGGGTGTCATACCCACCATACCTACCACCAATATGGCAAAATAATACCATTGTTGCTTCCAGGTCCTTCTTTTAGGCTATATGTTTTGAATCATTAAGTATAACTTCAAGTTTATATTAATCCCCTATCACCTTGGTAATAACATGTACATTTGGGAGGAATACATACTGTGATTTAGCCCAGTTTAGCATCCCCTTAGGGTTGGCTTGGGGACCGACCCACTGAGGAAGATTCAGGATAGACGAACTGTACCTCTCTAGCTATAAAGTAGACATGCAGGTTGCTACACAGAAAACAAATTCCTGGGATGGTGGGCCAGGCACCTGTATTCTATGATTTTTCTCTGGCACGTGCTCTTCTGTAAGTCTCCTGATTCCTTGTGGAAGTACACATAGGCTCATACGCTGAGCACACATTCCAAGTTCACTTCTGTGGGCATTCACTTTCCATTTCATGTGCACATCCTGGCTCTCTGCACTCCGTCCATCTCCCAGTTTTCACATGTATAAACTTGCTTTTATATCCAAATTTTGCACGAAATGTCACTGTTATGTGCACTTAGATACTAAACACTATTTGAATTCTTTTGCATAAGGTGTGTATGCACACACACATATACATGCAGTAAATGGCAAAGCATAATACAAATATATCATATCTCAGCCCTGTGGTGTAGATGTCCCTTTTATGGTGCAAAGGCATATGCTTTAGAGTCAGAAGACCTGAGTTCAAATCCTAGCTCCACCACTGACTAGCTACCTGATCTTAGAGAAGTTAATTAAATTTTCTGGATGTAAGTTTCTTCATTAGGATTAAATGAAAAAACTTGTAAAAACATCTAGACCTGTGCCCAGAACCTAATGGGAAACTCACAAATATTAGGTACCTCCTTTATTTTTATTTTTGTAAATGAAAAGAAATAGTCCTTACATTTCTCTCACACAGTGTATTAGTCAGGGTTCTTAATTGCAAGCATCAGAAATCATCCTGGCCAAAATAAGCACGAAGAGGAAATTGGTGAAAGGATATTGGGTGGCTCAAAGAATTGCCAGGAAAGCTGAAGAGCCAGGTACAGAAGATGAGCTGGAGTGGCAAAACCGATTCTCCACTGTCTCAGCTTCTTGTATCACTTGCTCCAGATTTAAAAAGCTCTGAATGAAAGGTCAGCCTGGCCGTGCCTGGGGCCGAGGCCTGCATTCCAGCTGTGATGGTCAGCAAGGTAGCTCTAGACTTTCCAGCCTCTGTAGTTGGAATTCCTCAAAACTAAGAATGGAATTCAGATGTCAGGCAGCCATAAAAGACCACTGTCCAGGGTCTACTCTCACCATTTCTCACGTGTTCACATATCATCCCTTTCTATGTGTACATTCATTCTTAACTAAGGAGACTTTCTGCTTCAGGAACTCCCCTCCAGCCTACCACCACTCTGTTTTCAACGGCTAGTTTAGACCTTTCTGCTAGTTCTTTCCTCTGCCCAGAATGCTCCCTGCCTGCCCCCTTTCCACCACCAGTCCTTGGACAGCCCA